AAAAAACCCCTTAGGTAAAGAAGGAACTTTCTTTTCTGAGGCCCATTTGTCATGGACAAGAATCGACCAAATATGGACAACTAGAGGGCTGGCACCTAAGACTAGAAAAGTGGAAATCTGCCCAAAAACCTGCTCCGACCATAACGCCTTGAAAGTGGAATTGAGACTTACTCCAACCGGTTCCTTCAGATGGAAAATGAATGACACCTTACTAAGAGATCAGGAGGTCGTGAAGAAGGCCCAAAAAACTTTAAGAGATTATTTTGAAATAAACTTGAATACAACGGTAGAAAAAAGAACGATCTGGGACGCAAGTAAAGCAGTTATGAGAGGGTTTCTGATACAACAAAATACGATTAAGAAAAGACTCTGGAATGGAAAAAAGGAGAAGATTTTGGAGAAAATAAGAGAAGGAGAGAAAAAATTGAGAACTAATCCAAAATCGAAGGAGGTGCTGAGAGAAATCAAATTCCATCAAGCACAATATTCGAAATTGATAAATCAAGAGGTTGAATGGAAAATTAAACAAATGAAGCAAAGATCATTTGAATCAGCAAATAAATGTGGAAAACTGCTAGCATGGCAGTTGAAAAAGAGACAAAAATTGAATACAGTTACAAATCTAGAGATTGATGGGAGAATTGTTCAGAAACCAGAAGAAATCAGAAGGTGTTTCCAGAGATACTTCAAAGAACTTTATGCACAGGGGCCACAGAAAGATTCCGAGATAGACCAATTTTTAAAATCTAACGGATTACCAAAAGTAACTCAGGAAAAGAGAACAACCCTGAATTGTAAAATAACACAACAGGAAATTGAAGGCGCCATTCAGAATATGCAACTAGGCAAATCTCCAGGCCCGGATGGACTTACCTCCAAATATTATAAGACTTTGAAGGACTATTTGATACAACCTCTGTTAGAGGTATGCAACCAGATTATGGAGGGGAAGAAGGCACCGGAATCGTGGAAAGAAGCCTTCATCACATTGATTCCTAAGGTGGAAACTGAAAAGACTCAACTTAAGAACTACCGTCCCATCTCACTGCTAAATGTGGATTACAAAATCTTTGCAGACATTCTGGCAAGTAGACTTAAAAAAGTTTTGAATGAAGTAATTCACAAGGACCAGGCTGGCTTTCTCCCAGGTAGACATTTGTTTGATAACACCAGGAACATTATTGATATTTTGGAACTTTTACAAACAAATATCAATAGGAGAGCGGTGTTAATTTTTATCGATGCAGAGAAAGCCTTTGACAACATTTCTTGGATGTTTATGAAGAAAAACTTGGAAGGGATGGGAGTGGGACGGGGGTTTGAAAATGGAATAGAAGCAATCTATTCAGAGCAAAAAGCTAAACTGATAGTGAACAATGTGGTGACAGAGGAGTTTAAAATTGAAAAAGGGACACGGCAGGGGTGCCCTCTATCTCCTCTCTTATTTATCTCAGTCCTGGAGGTTCTGTTGAACATGATCAGGGAGGACCGGTTGGTACAAGGAATAGAGGTCGGAGTGAAACAATATAAATTGAAAGCTTTTGCAGACGATTTAGTCTTAACACTACAGAAGCCAGTATCTAGTACAAAAAGAGTTTTAGAACTGATTCATGAATTTGGTCGGGTGGCGGGATTTAAGCTGAACAAGCAAAAGACCAAGGTTTTGGCCAAAAATTTGACACCTACAGAAACAGAGGGGTTCCAGAAAGAAACAGAACTAAATGTCGTTAAAAAAGTGAAATACCTAGGGGTTTATGTGACTGCGAAAAATTTGAATTTATTTAAAGACAATTGTGAAAAATGCTGGTTGGAAATTAAGAAGGATTTGGAAATTTGGTCAAGATTGAAACTTTCCTTGTTGTGTAGAATTGCAGCTATAAAGATGAATGTATTGCCGAAAATGCTATTTTTGTTTCAGGCCCTACAGATCGTGGACAGAGTGGAATGTTTTGGAAAGTGGCAGAAGGATATATCTAAGTTTGTCTGGCAGGGCAAAAAGCCCCGAATAAAGTTTAAAATATTAACTGATTCGAAAGAAAGAGGGGGGTTTGCCCTGCCGGACCTGAGGTTGTATTATGAATCTGCAGCCTTCTGCTGGCTGAAGGATTGGTTTCTGTTGGAGAACACTGATGTCCTGGATCTGGAAGGGTTTGATAATGCTTTTGGCTGGCATGCATATTTGTGGTACGACAAGGTTAAAGTTCATAAGCTATTTAAAAACCATATTGTCAGAAGAGCAATTTTTGCGGTCTGGTTGAAATATAAAGACTTACTGGAGGGTAAGACCCCGAGGTGGCTATCACCGGTGGAGGCCAAGGCCAGGAAAAGACCCAACATGGAGGCCTACTGGCCAAAATACTGGGAAATAATTGAAAAAATTGGAGACAATTGGAGGCTGCAGAGCCTAGACAAATTAAAAAATAAGGTGCGGGATTGGTTACATTATGCTCAAATCCAAGAGGTTTTTAAAATGGATAAAAAAGTTGGTTTCCAGGTGGAAAAATCGAAATTAGAGACGGAATTGTTAGAACCAAAAACTAAGACACTTTCAAAAATGTATAACTTGCTGCTTAAATGGAATACATAGGACGAGACAGTCAAATCTGCCATGATAAAATGGGCACAGGATATTGGACACAACATTATGTTTGAAGACTGGGAAAGGTTATGGAACACCGGAATGAAGTTCACGGCATGTAATGCATTGAAGGAAAACATTATGAAAATGATATACCGGTGGTACATGACCCCAGTCAAGCTTGCTAAGATATATCACCTGTCTGATAATAAATGTTGGAAATGTAAGGAGGCAGAAGGGACATTCTTCCATCTCTGGTGGACCTGCCCAAAAGTGAAGGCCTACTGGGAAATGATTTACAACGAGTTAAAAAAGGTATTTAGGTATACCTTTCCCAAGAAACCAGAGGCCTTCCTATTGGGCATGGTGGACCAGAAGGTGTCAAAGAAGGATAGAACCTTGTTTATGTATGCTACCACAGCAGCAAGAATCCTTATTGCAAAGCACTGGAAGACTCAAGATTTACCCATGCTGGAGGAGTGGCAGACGCAGTTGATGGACTACATGGAACTGGCTGAAATGACTGGCAGAATCCGAGATTTGGGGGAGGAAACAATGGAAGAGGACTGGAAAAAATTTAAGGACTATTTGCAAAAACATTATAAGTTGTATGAATGTTAAGAAATACGCACGATTAGGAACTTTTGCTTTTAGCAACTCGATTAGGTAAACTGAAAATTAAGACAGGAAAAAGAGGTGGTAAATATGAAACAACTTTATTATGTTAACTTTAAAAGTACAAAGTTGGGATACAATATTGTGAAATTAGAAACATAATAACTGAAAGATACAGTAAGTTAAGAAACAAGGTAACAAATTGCTGAAACTTTTATTGCAAAGAACGCAGAGTCGTGAGGATGTGGGGAAGTCCATTTGGAATATTGGAAAAACTCTTGAAAGTTGGATTGTAATAATCTTTATATCATTTCTCTTTGTTTTTGTTTCTTGTATTTTCTTGCTTTAACTCTGTGTCTATGACCCTAAGAAAAGAAACTCAATAAAAAATATTAAAAATAAAAATAAAATAGAAGGCGATTGGGCTGGATCCAGCCCCTGGGCCTTAGTTGGCCTACCCATGATGTAGACCTTGCATTTACCATAGTTCCCAAATCCATTCACCTCTTAAATCTGGCACCACCTCACTCCACTCCCTGCTCACCCTTCTCAGAGAATCTGAAAAAAAGTGAACAAAGAGACAGTTATGTCCCATGGAAACATTTGAGGCAAGAATTTTGTCTGTCAAGCAATGCCCACAAGAAGGAAGGGTTGCTGATGCGAATGGAAGAAACTTCAGCCATAATAACAGGATTCTTCTCAACTGCAATTCTGACAGTTTCTTGAGCGGCCCCAGAATTATTGGCTCTTTCATCTTTATTGAAAGGACCATTACTCAGAGATCCTTTTTTCTTTCTCGTTTTGTGTCTTCCACATCTGCCTTGTGCTACAACTTCCTTAAAAATGTCCTGAGTATGCTGCTGGGTCAGGTCTACTTGACATTAATTGCATTTTCTATTATTTTAACTTCCTTTCCTTCTCTATAATATATTCTACAAATATATTAATTAGAAATGGATGCTCTTCATTCAGTGATGATATGCTCAGGATGAAAATTCACACATCACTTTACCTCACTTCTTAACATGTAGATAAGAAGTTTGTGTGAACACACACATGGCAACTGGAAGGTCTTGCTAATATATTTTTCAATGTAACACATTTTGCATTAGGGAAATGGTGGATGCGTCTGGGTTTTGTTAATTAATGTTCAAAGAGTTCTACCAAACAACACTTCTAGAACTGCAGTATAAATATTCCATATAAGAAAACACATCACCTAATTCTGTCGTTGTTGGGTTTTTGTTTTTTTTAAAAAGGAAGTGGGGATGTATGAAAAGTTGAATACAGTACTGAAAAGAGCAAAGAAATTTTCAAGACTGACAGCTGAAGATTGCATTTTCCAATGTGCCAAAGTCATTCCAGCAGTGAAATAACAGCTCTCCCGTGGAACAGAAAGAGCTACAAATGAAACAGTTTTCTGTTCTGCAGGAGTGTTACAATGTCGATAGCATTGGATTTTATTTATTTGTTTATTCTTCGCGATTCCCTAGTACTGTACTGTAGTTAAATATCCCTGGGCAATGGGAATGGAATAATGAACAGAATTACTTTGTGTAGGTGTTACATTGCTGAGGAATATAGCCAAAATAAATTCCAAGCAAGTACTTGATCAAAACTGAAAATCAAAACCGTACAGTGAAAAATCATAACTTATTTTAATTTCCAAGAATTAAATTTCAAATTTTAAAGCAAGCTCAGTTTTCAGAGAAATAACGTTTTATAGAATAGAATAGAATAGAAGAATAGAATAGAATAGAATATATTCTACATATCTGAACGTAACTTTATATTCTGTTTTTTTCAGGGGTGCAACATCTATTGTCTACAGATGCAGGCAGAAAGGAACACAAAAGCCATTTGCTGTCAAAATCTTGAAGAAAACTGTAAGTTTCATTCCACCACCACCACCCCTTCTCAGATTTTTCTTACAGAGGTTTTCTTCAGAGGATCCATTGCAAATGTGTTTAGGCTTTAATTGCACAGTCTGACCAATGAGGACGTTCCAGCTTTGTTCGATTTAAATTCATGATGTGCACACCAGCAGCCTTCGGAGGAAATTATTCCCAAAGACATGCTATGCATTTACTCATCTTTTTGTATATTACTATTCTATCTGCATATTGTAAAATGGTTAGCAGAAAATGTATACTTAGAAAACACCAAGAGCATGAATTCCTGATGAGAACAAAGCAACAGGAAGCCATGGAAAGGACATAAAAAAATATAAGAGGTTCTGCAAACTAACCCATATATCTTGTATGACTTCGTGATTTGAACTCAGCCTTCTATGGAAAGCAGAATCTTCTGCACAGGCATGAGGGTGTGGGAAGAAGAAAGAGATTATCACCTCAAGACTACATGCCAGAAAGAACACAACAGTTCTTGTTTTTGTGAAGGAAGCAACCTTACCTTTGGTTTCATGCTGCAGTTGTACCTGAGCAATAGTTCTGACTCAGGGGGTAGCCAACACTCAATGCAGCCTTCAGGAGAGGGATCGGGGGAGAGAGAGAGGTTTAAAACAAGAGTAAAACTGTTTATGTGTTCCTAGAGAATTGCTAATTTCTTCTGTAAGTAGGTTAATGGCAGGTGCTGCTTCAACTTTGCTAGCATGCCATACTTTGAGAACTCTGCATTGTGGCATGTTCTCTGAGTGCTGAAGGCTTCATGGTATTATAAAAATAGCATTAGGATTAAAAAATTCAGAAGAAGTACAGTCAGGAGATTCATCTAAGAGCTGGTTATTACATAAGCACCTGCAACTCTCTCAAAAAAGTTGCTATTATTCGAGCATCATATTTAGCTTTGAGGCCGAAATTCATATAAGTTATGGATTTTTCAAATTAGTAAGCAGAATGGTGAGGTGAGAGGAGAGGAGAGAATTTGGATACAGTGGTACCTCGGATTACATACGCTTCAGGTTACAGACACTTCAGGTCACAGCCTCCTCTAACCCAGAAATAGTACCTCGGGTTAAGAACTTTGCTTCAGGATGAGAACAGAAATCGTGCTCCGCTGGCGCGGCAGCAGCAGGAGGCCCCATTAGCTAAAGTGGTGCTTCCGGTAAAAAACAGTTTCAGGTTAAGAACGGACCTCTGGAATGAATTAAGTACTTAACCCAAGGTACCATTGTACAGGAGTGTGGAGGATGGGGTGGGGGACGGCTAAGCTAGATGCATTTCCTTTACAACAACAGTTTTATGATCCAGCAATATTCAGTGGCGGAGCTTCATGCTCTGGCACGAGGGGCGTGGTGTGCATTCTGGGGGGCGTGGCGCTCTGCCTGCAGGGGCAGGGCACCCAGTGCGGGCAGGGGGGCAGCAGCAATGGAACCCCACAGGGATTGTGCTGCCGGGGGCGGCACGCTCCACCTGCCCCCCCTCTTCCTCCACCAGTGGCCATATTGACAGTGAAAACCTTTTCAGGTTTCAGTGGGTAAGTGAGGGGAGGCATTCAGTAGAGAGGAATGAGATTTGTATCAATGGAGATCCAAGTCACTTCTGCAAATGGAAAGAGCTCGTCTGTAGGTGGAATAGCACGGCCATACCAACTGTATCGCTGTAGGCCACTTATTCCACCAAATAAGAGGACTGTTCTTTCTGTTCCTCTTATTTCACCAGGGGAGGTTCAAGCGCTACTTACGCACCATCTTCCATGGAGTTTAGACTTATCTTCAACAGTAGCTCCTCCAACATTTTAAAATGTTCTGACAATAATTTTAATGAGTCCTACTTTAAGATGGTTTTATTGTTTTCTCGCCGAAGGGGCTTGAAATACTAGAGTGGCGCCCGCCCATCAAATGTCAAAGCGATAAATAACTACCTGACATTCAGAAGACATCTTAAGGCAGTCCTGTTCAGGGAAGCTTTTAATCTATAATATTTTACTGTATCTTTGGTTTCTATGGAAGCCACCCAGAGTGGCTGGGGAAACCCAGCCAGATGGGCGGGGTGCAAATAATAAATTATTATTATTATTATTATTATTATTATTATTATTATATAGAGTTGCAAGCTGAAAATTTAGTACAGTGCAGATTTTCCTATTTGAGACCTAATTCTCATTTTCAGCCCCAGATGTAGCTCGTCGCTCTTCAGTAAAATATCTTGACACCACTGTTGAAAGAGTAAACACAGTGCAATGGAGCTATGTGAGCATGTTGCAACTATCTGTCTGTCTGGAGTGAATATGCATAGTTCTAGCCCCCTCATCTTTAAAAGATGGGCTAATTGGTTAATATGAAAAAAGCAGCAAATTAATAATCAGGGGTATGGGACGTTTTCTATATGGAAAAAATCCAGATTAAGGCCCATCATATTGGGAAAGAAGTCAGTAAGTGCTTTCGGATGGGTGCTTTCTTGAATGACAGGCATGGTTTTTCAGCATATCCAACCAACAGCTACAGGAAACACTGGTTAAATAAATTTATAATGATCTCTTCCATTTTGAGAGTTTAGTTTAAGGGGACAAAGTAGAACATTATGAAAGAAATAGATTAATGCAAAATTTGGCATACATGGCTCTGCAGGCCCATTTATGTTAACTATTATTTTTCAGTGGAGTGGATCCTGTGGAATTTCATTGATGATCAAAGTATATACAGGTTGCAAAGCTTGCTTACCCTTCTGAAAAAGGGAGTTCATTGATAGGTGACTTTTATTTGAGAACAGCTTGTCCTTAACCCCCATGTTTTATTTAGAGTCTTCAATAAGCTAAAGAAATGAAGATGGGGCTGTTAAGATGAACACTCTGGAAGGAAATAGATTAAAGGTGTCGTTATCAAAAAATTAAAAAGGGCAATATAAAAAACGGCTCCCCTCCCCTTCCCTAGTTGTTGGTTGACTCCAACTTCCTCTCTTGAAACTCGAATGAAAAGTGTGTTGTGATAGAGAGCACCTTTGGGATAAACCGATGACATTTATAAATTAAAACAGATCCCCTGAGGGACATGGAAGCATTCTAACGTAGTCATATTAAAGGGAGTCCCTCAGGGATGATTTTTTGAGAAAATCATTGTACTAATCTTCATTGTACTAAACCACCCAGAGAAGAGGAAACAGATATGTTTTATTCCTGATCACGACCCAAACTGGCAACAGTTTTTACAGCAATTGTGGGACCTGAGGCAATTTTAGGTTACATCCCAGCAGATAAAATATCCAGAGATGGAGCCAAGTCTACTTGTCTCTCAAAAATAAATCTTCCCTACCAACAGCAGTTGAGGTTACGTGAGGCAGTTTTAACTGAATGTCTTCAAAGATTGAGGGATCTGCTCAGGCTTTAGAGACACTAAAGTAAAATTGCACCGGGCTGCAGTCCTGCACCCATTTACCTGAAAGTAAGCACAATTGAACTAAATAGGAAAAAGTAAGTCCTCCTCATAAGTGAGTGGACATACCGTATTTTTCGTCCCATAGGACGCACCTAGTTGTTTGTTTTTTTGGGGGGGGGAATAAAGGGGGGGAAATTCCCTTTATTTCCCCCCCAAAACCAGGTCGGGGAATCCAAACCAGGTCGAGGAATAGCGGGATGGCGGCGCTGCGCCTCCCCTCTGTCCCCCGAGCTTGTGGGGCTGCCTGATGTCTGCCCGAAGCGCAGGGCGCTCTGCTTCAGCACGCCCCGCGCTCCGTGCAGCAGGCTGCTATCCGCAGCCTAGGGAGCCCTGCGGGAACTCCCGCAGGGCTCCCCAGGCTGCGGATATCTGCCCGGTACGCGGGGCGCTCTGCTTCAGGGCGCCCGTGTGCCGGGCAGCAGGCTGCTATCCGCAGCCTAGGGAGCCCTGCGGGAACTCCCGCGGGCTCCCCAGGCTTGCTGATAGCTTCCTGAAGCCTGGAGAGCGAGAGGAGCCGGTGCGAACTGACCCCTCTCGCTCTCCAAGCTTCAGCAAAAGCCTGTATTCGCCCCATAGGACGCACACAGATTTCCCCTTCATTTTTGGAGGGGGAAAAGTGCGTCCTATAGGGCGATAAATACGGTACATAGGATTGTGTGCTGTCACAAATCTGAGCCCCCAGGAAGAACCATTTAACTGTCATGTCAACTTTCATCCCAGTTCTGCCAACTTATTCTCCCCTCTTTGATCAAATCTCCTTCTCATTTACTGTCCCCTGCTGCTTCCATGGGCATACCAGCAAACTTATAGCTAGTCCAGCCATCAGTCTTGCTCTCCGCATTCTGTTTGGCGTTTGTTGCTTAAACTTGAAATGCAAGAATGTTTCTGCATTTATCTGTTCATTCACCACCTAATTAATTACACAACAGAGCTTTTTAAAGTGTAAAACTGCTTCAAAGATCAGGGAGGGAGCATTATTGGGTTGTTTCTACAGTCGGGCCTTTTAGTAGTGCTGAGGCATTGCTTTCCCACTGTCCACTGTAAGCAAAATCAAAGCAGTAATTCCATGCAGTTCTGCATATATATATAACCATTCCCGCAATGCTCATCACAATGGGCAACAGCCTATGCTTTCTTGGAAGTCCCAAGTGATTCTGCAGGATTTGTTTAAAAGAACTTGTGCATGAGAATGCAGCCTCTGCATGGGAGCAGGAGGAGGAGCAGAAAGATAAAGAAGAGAAATTCAGATGTCAGAAGTTCTCGCACCACACAAGAGGCAGAGTTGAACTGGGCCTTGAAATTAATATAATTCATTGATGATTACAGAAAATCCAGATGACAAAGCTGCTAAAACATTTGCATTCCTATGTTTTCGTGTTGTCCTACTGTTCCTTTTGAACGCTGAATTACACTGGGTTATTTCACTTCCTGTGAAACTTCAGCATAATGTTGTTGAATTTGGGCTGGCATAGCACTATTGCCATGCAGGTTGAGGGAGAGGGAGATAACATTTTCAGTGGTTGCCTGACTGGATGGCTAAAGGTAAAGGTAAAGGGACTCCTGACCATTAGGTTCAGTCGTGACCGACTCTGGGGTTGCGGCGATCATCTCGCTTTATTGGCCGAGGGAGCCGGCGTATAGCTTCCGGGTCATGTGGCCAGCATGACTAAGCCACTTCTGGCAAACCAGAGCAGCTCACAGAAACACTGTTTACCTTCCCGCCGGAGTGGTACCTATTTATCTACTTTCACTTTGACGTGCTTTCGAACTGCTAGGTTGGCAGGAGCAGGGACTGAGCAACGGATGGCTGCTTCAGTGCTATTCGCTGTCCATCCTTTGTCCTTCAAAGGAGAAGGCTTAGCTGAAAGGGGGTTCTTTACACGAAAGTGACTGTCAGGCATTCATTACACACATTTGAATGTAATATGGAGTCTGGCTCTGATAAAGTGATAACCTGAAGCTTGAATGTCAAATGTAGCATAGTTTAACTATGAGAACTTTTTAAAAAATCATTTAAAAACTTGTTTGCTTCTGTAAAGAAGAGCCGTCTTCATTATTACTCTAGTTTCTAGACTTGGCATGATTATTTCTCGGCTAAGTAAAGCTGGCAGTGCTGTGCTTCCATTTTTCCAATTAGCTGCTGTTCTACAGCCAGATGTTTAATTTAAGTAAGGTAAAGGTAAAAGTCCCTGGACGGTTAAATCCTGTCAAAGGTGACTATGGGGTTGCAGTGCTCATCTTGCTTTCAGGCTGAGGGAGCCGGCATTTGTCCACAGACAGCTTTCTGGGTCATCTGGCCAGCATGACCAAACCGCGTCTGATGCAACGGGACACTGTGACAAGTGCAGAGCGCATGAAAACACCATTTACCTTCCCACTGCAGCGGTACTTATTTATCTACTTGTAGTGGCATGCTTTCGAACTGCTAGGTTGGCAGGAGCTGGGACAGAGCAACAAGAGCTCACCCCGTCATGGGGATTCGAACCACCGACCTTCCAATCGGCAAGCCCAAGAGGCTCAGTGGTTTTGACCACAGCAACTTAGCACTGTCCCTTCGGACTGGAGATGATGGGGTCTGAACCAGAGACCTTCTGCATGCCAAGCAGCGGCTGAACTACTGAGATGCAGACCCTCTATTTTTGGCAGGGCTAACTACCCGTCTTGCAAAAATGCATGCAAAGAAGCTGTCGCACAAGCTCTCTTTCTAAATAACAGCAGTTTTAGTGGAGAGCAGAGTTATTTAACCCTTTCCTGTGCCACAAATTGCTACTTCCCTCATATATAAGCTGCACTCACTCCGTAGGGTTCCAAACACAGCTTGAATCCTGAAGCTCAAGGTTAGTAAAGCAAGAAACAGCCAGCGGTATTTTGCTGTACCATCTGTTGAGCAGACTGTTGGAACTAAGCCAGGTAATGTGCAGCTGAGTCTTGTTTCTATGAACACCAAACTAGTGCCAGAGTAGGGCTTGGTAATAGGTTTGTAAGCAGTAGAATGGATTTCACTTTATCCAGATTTTTTGTTTGCCTGCACCCAACCCCCACAAGGTTTTATCCTAAACATTTGGACTGTTAATGATGATGCATACTTTACCATTTATAAATTATATAACAAATGATAAGTATCAAATAAATGTGGCCTTCACTGTTGAGACACAGAAACTCTGCAGTGTGAGATACCAGTGAGCATCCTCATAAACATTTACCTGTTGTTGTCATGACATGAAAAGCTCACTAATGCCATGGTAGTGGCTGCTAAAACATTTTGATGGTAAGCATAGGTACTATGTTTCACAAACATTAATTCACACATGTATTCAGAGCAAAGTTTAGAGATTGGGTACATTTTTAGCAAGACCTAGGGAAAACAGGGGGTTTTTTCCAGCTAGAACTCTGCAGAACACAGTTCCGGCAACTCTCAGCTGGGCGCCATTGCCGTTGTAAGAGAACAAGGGAGGCGTTCATGGTGAGTTCCGGCACCTCTTTTTCTAGAAAAATAGCACTGTATAAGGATATACTATTTTTTGTACCATGAGCTCCAATGTATCCATTGGGCCAAGGCTAAACTGGGCGTAAAGCTGTTATAGTAATCTGTAAACAAACATGTTATTTCAGATGTTGCCTGCTGAAGAGCTCTGTGCAACTCTAAAGAAGTTGTTTCAAGAAAAGGTATTGCTATATTTATATATATTTGATAATAGGAAGAGAGTATTAAGTGGCTTCAGAAAAACTAGAACTGCAAAAATATACCCGCCCAGTTTAGTAATCCCATGCAGCAAAAGATCTGCTTGCAGAGGAAATTCTCTAAGTATTTTTCCATTCTCTTCATTGATGTTGGGCTGCCTGCTCCATGGGAAGTGAAAGGCTAATTCACGCAGGAATTCGATGTCTGCACACACACCAAGTCGCACATTCGAAGCCTTGTGTTTAAAGCAGCCTTAGGTAAACTCCATTCATGTAAATAAATTATTGCTAATCAGTCAGTAGCCTTATTACTTGGACTACAAAGCAGGGAGGAGCAGTAAGAAGAACATTGTCCCTTGAACCTGGACGGCAGCCTGTTTGTTGTAATGGTAAAGAGTGCATTTCGCCTAGTATTTATGCCACACATTCAGCTAAATGCGCAGCATTCATTCTGCAAGGAAATAAGTAACATGTGTGCAGCAGCTGTTGCTTGGTAGATGGCATTTACTGCAACTATTGGTCATGAATTCTATGTAACGATTTTGAACAAAAATTAAGGACGGGATTCACCTAATGAACCCTGCCAGCAGAAGCTTTGTGCAAGGGTTTCCACTTGTGCAATGGAACTTCCTCATTTCTTTCTCCCCCCCCAACATGCCCCCTGCCCTGAAATTGCATCTGAGGGGGTCAGGAAAACCCCCAGAACAGCACATACAGAGAGGGGAATGTTCAATCTGGCAAGCAAATATGCTTGCAGATGGAACCTTGTAATTCCATCCTGAGACTTCAAAATGCTAAAGTAGGACAATAATAAACGCCAACTATTACTCTCTGGTATGAACATGTGTAGATATCATACTGGCAAATCAGGGATGGAAACTGCCAAATGGAATTTCTGAGCATTTGTATGAACTGGAAACTGGAAACAAACAAAAACAAAAATCTGCTGGGTGCGCAGAGTGCACTGAAGGACTGAGTAATTAATGTTTTATTTTATAAAACTGAGTGATGAGTTCTGCTGAAACATGCAACATTCATCTTAAGTGGAGAGGCAGTCAGAAAAACTACTGGAGCTTACAAAACAGTAAGATTCCCCCCCCCCAATTGTTCCTTTCTTCCGTTCTTGTTTACCCTCTAGGCACTTATTCCTTCCCCTCTTGTTTCAGCTAGCTTGCTGGGTCTTTTCAGAGCACAGAGGAAACCTTTCCCCTCTCCCAAATGTGTAAACAAGTGATATAAAATTCTGTCTTTGAGCACATTTCTAAAATTAACTTTGTAGTGTTGTAAAAAGAGAATCCTCTGTGACATGTTGGCACTAGAGGGTCACTGCTGCCTCACACAGAAGTAGCTTGGGGGCACAGATTATTCGCCAGCAGGGAGTGCTTACTAACCTAATAAAACAAAGGGAAGTCTTGCTTCATGTACACCTTGCTTCTGCCTCTTGAACATATTTCCCCCCCTCAAACTTAGTGTAAACTTACCGTATTTTTCGCTCTATAAGACGCACCAGACCACAAGACACACCTAGTTTTTGGAGGAGGAAAACAAGAAAAAAATATATTCTGAATCTCAGAAGCCAAAACAGCAAGAGGGATCGCTGCGCAGTGAAAGCAGCGATCCCTCTTGCTGTTCTGGCTTCTGGGATAGCTGCACATCCTGCATTCGCTCCATAAGACGCACACACATTTCCCCTTACTTTTTAGGAGGGAAAAAGTGAGTCTTATAGAGCAAAAAATACGGTATTTTTCTTGTCTCCTCTGTATCTTGCGATATTCTCAAATCTGTCTAAAATAGCTGATCGTCTTTGTTTCAGACTTCAGACCTCTTTGCGCCCCTGATCACATCTACTATTAATTTTATTTTTATGATTTCTTTTCATTATATAGGTTTCAGTGATGTTGACCTCCGTGCCTGGAGCATTTTCTCTTCTCACTGGTATTAGCAAGATTCCCTCCACCACCCCCTCCACCCCCTGAGACTTCTTGCCTTCCACTTTGCAGAATTATAGAGTTGGGACACTAAGGGTCATCTAACCCAAACCCCCTGCAATGCAGGAATCTCAACACGTGGTCTCCCATCCACTTTGAAACCATGCTGGACCCTGCTTAGCTTTGCAAACGTGCTAGCAGTTTTATTGCTGAACCTCTAGTCTTCGAAAAACATACTGTCTTTTTATGTAGACATTAAACTCAAGAAAGGAAGGCATATTTTCTTATATTGGTTTTTGCAGTCACACTGATGTCATTGGAACTGTGCTCAGAAGGTAATTGGACACAAGGCAGCTTTCAGAATAATAATGTGTTTCTAATATATTGTGTAAATATATAGGATGTTTGAATGGTAATGCAAGATTTTAAAAAGTAGCCTTGCTGAATGAGACAGGTGGTTGTAGCAGGTTGTGCTGTCTGCAGATAGAAAACTTTTTGATCCAGTGGAACTTCCTGTCAGCTGAAACAATGGGTGCTGATCAAATTTCCATCATAATTTTGTATGAAACGTCACTGAAATCTTTGAATCTTCTTTAAGAATGCTGGTATGTTTGCTCAGATATCTATTTCTTAACCTGCAGCCTTATCCTAAATATATTAGCATGCAAGTAAGTCCCAGTGACTTCAGTAGGACTCACTTCCTAGGACATTTGTTTAGGATTGCACAGTAATAGTTAAAAATGTCTAAGATGAATACCAACAACTTATTATGCATCCCCCCCCTTTAACTAGGTAGACAAGAAGATTGTCCGAACAGAAATAGGCGTTCTACTTCGACTTTCACATCCAAATATTGTAAGTTGGGTATTTTTTACAACACAGTTTTTTGTTTGCTTGTTTGCTTGTGATACAGATGTTTTATTGTGGAACCTTTAGGCAGAATGAAAGCAGAGGTTTTAAGAAGTAATTAAAAACAAGAATAAGTTCAAACAAACCCCAAGACCAAGTTAATGGAATAAATGAGACATTTATCCTTCACTGTAACTTCCTTGCTGTTGACCATCAAAGTATATACATATTTCCTCTGAAATTGAAAAATTCCTTATGTTGTGCCTTTCTCAGATAAGACTGAAGGAGATATTTGAAACCCCCACAGAAATCAGCCTTGTCTTGGAGCTGGTCACGGGAGGAGAACTGTTTGACAGGTAGGTGATGTGTGAAAGTTATTCCATATCTCTTGCAGGAATGTTGTTATAATGAAGAGTTACTATTGAATGGGGACTGGTTTTGCATAGAGTGAATGAGAAGGCAGGAAGCCAGAGATGGTGGGGAGGGACTTCAACCCACTGTCCTGCCCTGAAAACTGCTGTGATCTTGCTCTCCTCTGGCTCACAGAGCAGACTTCAAAGCAAATGTCTTTCTCAAGGACCGCCCTGTTAGGGTGTAAGAGGAACAGGCCTCAGGCGCCTTCTCAGCTAAGCCCCATAGGCAGCCTTTCTCAACCCTGGATCTCCAGATTTTGGTGGACTCCCATCATCCCTGAACACTGGTCCTGCTAGCTAGGGATGATGGGAGCTGTAGTCCACCAACATCTGGGGATCTAAGCTAGAGAAAGGTTGCAGGCAGTACTTTAAATGCCTCAGGGCACAAATGCATCATAGCCAGTACTGCAGTTACAAAAGAAGCCATGACCTCAGGCAGAAGCAACTGGAAGCAGCCTGTTTCTAATGTTTTCCCTCCTAGGCTTCTTAGCAAGAACTGTGGCTGCATTACACATCACATGGTGTCCCTGCTGACATTTCTGGTACCTGGTCAATATGAGTAAGGTTGAAGCCTGTTTTTGTCACAGCAATGGTGTGGTTCACATATCACGTTTCTGAGCACAATTCAAAGTGTTGGTGCTGACCTTTAAAGCCCTAAATGGCCTCGGTCCAGTATACCTGAAGGAGCGTCTCCATCCCCATCGTTCTGCCCAGACACTGAAGTCCAGTGCTGAAGGTCTTCTGATGGTTCCCTCACTGCAAGAAGCCAAGTTACAGGGAACCAGGCAGAGGGCCTTCTTGGTAGTGGCACCCACCCTGTGGAACGCCCTCCCACCAGATGTCAAAGAGAACAACAACTACCAGACTTTTAGAAGACATCTGAATGCAGCCCTGTTTAGGGAAGCTTTTAATGTTTGACGGACTACTGTATTTTAATACTTTGTTGGAAGCCACCCAGAGTGGCTGGGGAAACCCAGCCAGATGGGCAGGGAATAAATAATAAATTATTATTGTTATTGTTATTATTATTATTGTTATTATTATTATTATTATTATTATTATTATTATCATCATCATCATCATCATCATCATCATCACATTAAACCATTCTTAAACTGTGGTTTATTTAAACAAGTCAACGAACCTTGTTTAAACCAAAGGATGAACTGCAAATTATCGAAGTAATTCTGATTTGTTTCACCCTTTCACCCCATCTGGCTTCTAACTCTCTTTTGCCCCTCCTCCTAACATCACTTAAGTGTTTGCAGCACCTAGTTACTGGCATTGCCTCACCATGCCACCATTTCCCTTTCCACTGGTCGGCTGTGAGAGTGAGAGCTGTCATCAAACAACTGCTCCCTCTTTCCATTCTGCCAGGAAAGAAACACCCTCACTATTTTGCAGCTTGTTGTTTCTTAAAGTGTACTCCTTTCCTCTGCAACCATGCCTTTTATTTTTCTTTCCCCAACCGGCAATTGGTTTAAGTAAGCATTCCTTACGTTGGACCCCTCTCTATCATCTTCTTCTGCTAGGTGGGTATTGAAAGACTGATTTGACTAATGCACACTTAAGTAGTTTCATATGTTAATTGTAACGACTGTCAGGAACAGAATCTCATTTCAAACTCATGCATAATGAGTTTTTCCTTCAAAAGCTGCCCAAATTGAAAGGAGACACATTCCCAGAAATCATTCCACTCACTAACCAAAACCACTCCAGCGCCCAACAGTGGAAACATTTGCAAAGCAAAAATTCATCAGTGTTTCCTTTAAGTTTTCAAATCCAGCTTGAGCTGCAACTTTGAATAGAAGGGGAAAGGATTCTGTTACCAGGCAAAGTTGGCAGCAGTGTCAACTACAAGAAAAGTGCCAGTGAGAGGAACTGAGCACTAAAAGCGGATTCATTTTTCAGCTACTCTTGTTTGGTGCCTCTGTTTCTTGGTGGACAATTTGGGAAGAGTGACATTACAAGGGTCACTTAAACTATATACAGTGGTACCTCAGGTTACAGACACTTCAGGTTACAGACTCTGTTAACCCAGAAATAGTACCTCGGGTTAAGAACTTTGTTTCAGGATGAGAACAGAAATCACGCAGCAGCAGCAGCAGCAGGAGGCTCCATTAGCTAAAGTGGTACCTCAGGTTAAGAACAGTTTCAGGTTAAGAACGGGCCTCTAGAATGAATTAAGTTCTTAACTCGAGGTACCACTGTAGTTAGGGAGGTGCTCATGTTTACACATAACACCTGGCCATAGTTAAGGTCACTGAGCCAACAACAAATCATGGCTTTAAAAGTTAAACTATAGTTAAGGCACTCTGCTGGGTTCAGATGTAACACTAAACCACGTTTTATGTACCAATATTTATCAGAAGTGACTAGCCTTGCAGGGCAGAGGGCCTGAGGGCTGCATTCACCATTGGCCAATCATAGAAATAATAGAATCATAAAGGGACCACGGGGCTCATCTAGTCCAACCCCCTGCAATGCAGCAATCTTTTGCCCAAAGTAGGGCTCGAACCCACGGCCCTGAGATTCACAGTCTCATGCTCTACCAGCTGAGCTATCAGGGGCTGCATGCCAGCACCATATGTTGCCAAAAATAAGTGTAGTCACCCCACGCTCCTGCATGCACAGATATACGCAGGCAGACATACACACAGCAGAACTGTGTACATGCATCTACCATCCCCCACAGCCACTGGACAGACTCAGCAACACAAAAACACTCATTCAGCAGCATTTGTGTTCTCTGAATGCTCCAGTATTACCCTGGGGAGCAAAAGCAAAGCCTCCTTTTAAGTTTGCAAAATGACCTATTCTCCCTTTGGTGTTGTGCCGTTGTTAGAAGGTCTTACAGAGGAAACAGAAAGGGATGCTTATTCCTGTGTCCTAAGCATCTCTGAGACCTGGGTTGAAATCCCAACTCTGCCATGATGCTGAGTGAGCTGGGGACAATCATTCTCTCTCAGCCTGACCTATCTCACAGAGTTGTTAAGGGTATAGAATAGGGTGTGAGGAACCATGTGTGCTACCTCGAGTTCCTTGGATAAAAACTGAGATAAAAATGCCATACATACATACATACATACATACATACACACACAGGGATATTCTCACCCAGGCAGCCTTTCAAAGACAACATTTTATACCACAAATATGGACCACAGAGGAAAAGTTTCATACCTCATATGCTCCAATACCCTGACAAAAGTAAACAGTGTGTATCATGAACATGCTGGTCACATCAGTATGTCAAACAGGTTTATTATTTATGGAAGGTCAACAGAGCAGAAGGGAGTAATGAACAGTGAGAGTTTCAGAAGGCGAATCTGGGCAAATTGCCAGCGAATGCATGTGGTCAGATCTGCAGGTGAGGCAAAAGTATACAAGAAACAGATGGGCATTTAATAGGATAAGGAAGTGGAGGATAAAATAACCAATCATCAAGATTTGTATCATCATAATGAGTTGTAAAAATTAGACCACTTTGAACACTTTCCCATTCTTGCGTTTTTCCTTCTGATGGCAGTGCTGCGTGATCCTAGAGGTAAGATAGATAGTAATTAGGTCCATTTTTCTGTGCTAAACATTATTTAACCAAGGAGGCCCTGTTTTTCTTATTTGCTTATATCTGTGAACTTTGAGAATTTCCTAATGCAGGTTCCTATGGGTGACTGGCTGCAGAGAGCACATTAGATGGATTCTTTCATATGGCTTTCATATCACCTGGGCCAGGGCAATCCGACACACATCCCGTGGGCCACATGTGGCCCTTGAGGCTGTTTTTTGTGGCCCTCCAGCTCCTCACCCGGGGCAGCACAATCAGGCTGGTGAAGATGATGGTTGCAGCCAAAGGCAGGCTACTGCTGCTGTTCCTCCTCCTCCTCCTCTGCTGCTGCTCCTGCAGGAGTTGTGATTCAAGGACCCACCACCTGCTTGAGGATAAGAAAGACACATGGACATGGTATATTAGGTTAATGGGCTTAAAAAGGCCACAACTTTATTGATTACAGCATGTGAGAGGTATTGGCTTAGGCATTGGATAAAACAACAGAGTGTGATTCCACCCCCTCAGGGAAGGGTGAGTCTATCAAGGGTTAACCACCAGTGGGAGGAGCCTGTTGATGCAAATACAACTGAAAGCTCCCCCTGATGTCACCAGGGGTCGTGCCATGGCCCTAGCCACCAGCAAGGGCGTTGGACAGGATTCACGACTGCCGGATTCCTTTACCAGAATACCCATAAAATGGAGGGGTAGGCGATGGCCACACCCTGCCCTCCAATGCACAACCATATTCCAATGCCTAACCGCCAATACCTAAAGTTGTGACGATATGCTACGAGGTAGGCGAAAACCAGCAACACAATGGCCAGGAAGTGCTGCCGCCGCAATATTTGAGTGGCTAAACCCTGCCCCCAAGCCTCCACCTGATTGGCTGGCCACCTGGGGGCGTGGTGTGGCAGCTGGCCAGGGGCTGAAACGCCCCCTGCCTCCTCTGTGAGGAGGAGAGGCTTTCTGTGCAGCCAACAGGCTGCACTCTATGGCCCACTTGGAGTATGGCTGCATCCCACAGGCTGCCAGAACTCCAGAGCCACCTGGGGGGGAGAAGAAAAAGAGGCGCACCACCTGGTGCAGAGAAGAAGCACGGTGTGTGTGTGTGTGTGTGTGTGTGTGTGAGAGAGAGAGAGAGAGAGAGAGAGAGAGAGAGAGAAAGACTTTGCTGTCTTCCTTTTTTGCGATGCAGAGAAGTTTGAGCTTTGGGGTGCACCAGTTGGTGGGGGAGAGAAGGGAACTTTGGTGCCAGAGTGGGTGGGTGAGTGAACTGTGAACAATCATTTTCAAACATGAACTTCATAAAGTCCCAAACTCAAAACAACCTAGCAGATCATTCATTTGAGAATTGCCTGCGAATGTCAACAACCAACCTTAAGGCGGACATCAG